GAGTAAGTTATTTATTTATCTATTATTACTCATTTATATAAATATTTACATTTAATCATTTAATTTAAACTAACTAATTTCTTTATTTAAAAAATTATTTAACAATATAGGGAGTAAGTTATTTATTTATCTATTGTTACTTATTTATATAATATTTAAATATAATTTAAATTAACTAATTTCTTCATTTAAAAAATTAATTTAACAATTTAGAATGTAAGTAGTAATTCTATTATTACATATTTATATAATTTTATAAATTAACTAATGTCTTTATTTAAAAAAATTATTTAACAATATAGGGTGTAAGTTATTTATTAATTCTATTATTACCGCTTATTTATATAATATTTATATATAATTTAAATTAACTAATTTCTTTATTAATAAAATATTTAATAATATAGGGAGTAAGTTATTTATTTAATTCTATTATTACTTGTTTATATAATATTTACATATGATTTAAACTGACTAATTTCTTTATTTAAAAAATCGTTTTGTTATTTATTTTAGTTGGTAAGTCATAATTTATTTATTTATTCTATTATTACTTATTTATGTAATATTTGCATATAATTTAAACTAACTAATTTCTTTATTTAATAGAGCGTAAGTTATAAGCTATCTATTATTACTTAATTATATAATATTTACATATGATTTAAGCTAACTAATTTCTTTATTTAAAAATTATTTAACAATATAGGGAGTAAGTTATTTATTTAATTATATTACTACTTATTTATATAATATTTATATATAATTTAAACTAACTAATTACTTTATTTAAAAAATTATTTAACAATATAGGGAGTAAGTTATTAATTTAATTATATTATTACTTATTTACATAATACTTACATATAATTTAAATTAACTAATTTCTTTAATAGATCGTAAGTTATAAGTTATTAATTTAATTCTATTATTACTTATTTATTATATTTATATATAATTTAAACTAACTAATTTCTTAATTTTAAAAAATTATTTATTATATAGCTTGTAAGATATATATTTTTATTGTTATATATTTTATATAATATTTATTTGTTAACTGAATTCTTTCATTTAAAAAAATATCTGTTACTTTAGTTGGTAAGTTGTAAATTATCGGTTATTACTATATAATATATTTATCCAAAAAGATTAATGTTACATTAAATTCTTATTTAAATTTTAGAGTAAGTAGTAATTTATTTTAGTGTAAATTATAATATCAGCTAGAGGTTTGCATTTACAACCCGACCCAGCCCACACTTGGAAATTAACCAAAGTGCCCGGTCCAGCCCAGCCTGAACTTAATATATTGAAGACCTGACCCGGACTATTATCATATCAATTTGTTGTAAAAACAAAAAAATCGGCCAACTTAATTTTGGCCAGTTTAATTTCGGCCGGAATTAAGACAATTTTGGCCAGAATTACTAAAATCCGGGTGTAATGAAAAATCATGTTCCGGCCTGGACCCGGCCTGGGTGAATTTTGAAAGAAAGTTTTCCAGCCCAAACTCGGTTCTGGATCCGGGCTGGGTCTGGGTTTCAATCCCGCTTGCAGGCCTCTAAAATAAACTATAACATAATTTTAACTGTTTAAATTTATAGATTTGGAAAATAGAGGTTGGAACCGATTAACGTTAATCGATTAATTAATCGGTCAAGGCGGTTAATCGGTTAAAGGTATCAAAAAATCGGTTAATCGACTAATTAACCGACTAAATTAATCGATTAATTAACCGATTAATTTAACCGATTAATTTAGTTGATTAAAATACTATGCAGATCATTTTCTCAAATTAGATAATGAAATTCCGATAACAGGTTTTTTTTAATATACAGTATTGACAAACTTATCAAAAAAATAAATCCGTTTAAACTTTTTATAAAAACTTGAGAAATTTTAATTTATTATAAAAAAAATTATACAATATGGGTGATAATGAAACAAATGACAATTTTTCAGAATATATTGATTATAGAAATGTTGAAAATGAATCTCTATCTGGTTCATCGAAACTACAATCTGTTGCACCTTCTACTTCAATTTCACAAAGGTCTTCATTTTCATTTTTTGAATCAACAGCTGGTAGTAGTCAACAGCAACAAATAAAAAAATTAAAATTGTCCAAGCCCGAAAAGAGCTTTGTATGGAAGTATTTTAAAAAAATTGATGATGGAAAAGTACAATGTATAATACCTATAATGAAAGGCGAGAAAGAAGAGCCATGTAATATAATTTATAAACATTCAAGTTCTACGTCAAATATGAAATATCATTTGAATGCAGCTCATAATAAAACTGAAGGAGATGAAGAAAAAGAGGTAACATAATTTTTTTATTTATTGTAAAAATATATTAGAAAATTAAATTAAATTTGTATTTATATTAATAGGAATCAATAATACATCAAACAACAATTGACTCAATGTTTAGCAAAGCAAGATCTCATGGAAAATCATATCAACACAAGTTAAACACATTATTACTTGAATTTATCATTACTGATTCTCAACCATTTCACATCTTAAAAAGTAAGGGATTTAGAAAGCTTCTTTTCGCACTAGATCCATCATATTCTATTCCTTGCGATAAAACTATCAAAAATTTGATTACAGAAGTATATAAACTTGGGGTTAAGGAATTATTGACTCTAGTAATTAATTCTTGTGAATTTATTTCAATTACAACTGATTTATGGACGGCAAGAAGTAAAACAGGGTATATTGGAATTACTGGTCACTGGGTAAATGAAAATTTTAAGCCATATGATATATTAATTGGCATTAAAAGTATTTTATATCCACATACAGCTGTAGCTATATCTAGTTATTTAGAGAAGTATATAGAAGAATATCGTTTAGAAAATAAGATTGTCTGTGTAGTTACTGATAATGGAAGTAACATGAAAGCAGCTGTTAATATTTTAAATCAAAAGAATGACAAAATACAGAGATTACCGTGTGTAGCACATACATTGCAATTAACAGTTATTAAAGCATTAAAATCAATCAATAAGCAAGTTAAGCGTTACAGAAAGTTAGTTAAATTTTTTCAATCACCAAAACAGTCTGAACGACTTCAAGAAGTACAAAATGAACTTAATAAAAAAACTCAACCTTCAAATGAGGATTCTGATGATGAACCACTTGAAAATTTGCCTACAAGTATACTTAAAAATATTAATGAAGTACCGACGCGTTGGAATTCCAAATATAATTCATGGAAACGATTAATTGAATTAAAAAAGCCAATTATTCGTTTAAATGCAACTTTGCACCTTGAAGATGATAAAAATGATAAACTTGATGGAGAACGCTTGCAAAAAATTATGCTTTGTGAAGAAGAATGGGTTCTTTTGAGTGAATTATGTAGTCTTTTTAAGCCATTTGATGAAGTAACAACTTATTTTAGTGGAGTTGAATATGCAACAATTTCATCAATATTACCAATTATTCAAACATTAAAATTAATTTATAAAAACAAATTAAAAGATAATTACGATATTAATATTGAGGATTTAGATGATAATGATGATATTGATATTGATGATAATGGTAAGTTTTTAAAATGAACTAATGAAGTTTATTTATTTATATTTTAAAATGTAATTAATTTATATTTTTATATAGAAAATATGAAAGAAATCTTATCTGACGAATCAGAAGAAGATGATGTAATTTCAGATGATTCAGAGTCAGATGAAGCAAGCAATGAACCAATGATTATTAGACCTCATAAACATAATTTACGTAAAAAAACTAAGAAAATTAATTATAGTGAAACAACAAGGAAATCACAAAATATTTTAGAGAATACGCCGCAAAAATCTCAACCAGAATCTGCAAATTCTGATCAAATAATTAAAAGAGTATTAGGAACAATTATTAAGTCACTTAATTCTTATTGGCAAGTACCTAATCAAAATGCACTTATTTCGACAATTTTGGATCCCAGATACAAAGATCTTGAATTTTTGTCAGATGATGAGTTACAGACAAAAACTGAAATTAATCTTCAGAATATGTATGATGATTTAAAATTTGAATTAAATCCAAATGAAGAATCACTTGAAGTTCCACCCACCCGAAATCAATCATCAGAAGATTCAATTTTTAATGTACTTCATAGAACTACAAGTCATAAACGCAAAAAAAAGTCAAATGAAGTTGATAATTATCTTAATGAAAGTATCACAGAAAAAGCAGATCCTAATATCAATCCTTTTGAATGGTGGAATCACAATAGACATAGATTTCCCATATTATCAATATTGGCACGCAAATATTTGTCCATTCCAGCAACTTCAGTTCCTAGCGAACGTTTATTTTCAGATGCTGGAAATAGCATGACAAATAAACAGACACGTCTTAGTCCAAAATTTTTCCAAGAAATTCTTTTTATTAAAAGAAATTCAAAATATATAGATATGTTCTCACTTGCTAATAAGGTAAATATCTTTAATTAAATACTTGATAATTGAAAAATTCTTCCCAAATAACAAACTGATAATTTTTTATTTATGAAATTTAGAAAAAATAAATGCAATACACGGTCACGTTTTATATATGTAGTATGTATGTATAGTTGCATTGAAAGTGGAGTTTAGGTTAGGTTAAAGGGTTAAGATAATTTAAGAATAATCATTTATTATATATATTTTTGTAACATATTTAAATGCTTTTATAAAATATGTATTTATTTTTATTTTATTTTAAATAAAGTATTTATGGCGCAGCTAAATGTCATGTGATATATATTACGCAAAATATTCAAATGGGCGGCGGAAAATGCAAAATTTATATATTAACCGATTAATTAATCGGTTAACCTCATCACAAATTAACCGATTAATTAACCGATTAATTAACCGATTATTATTCGGTTATGGTAACTGATTAGTCGATTATTAATCGGTTAAGGTTTTTTTGGTCGGTTCCAACCTCTATTGGAAAAAGTGAAAATGCAATTATAGATGATTTTATTCTTAAAAATAGATTAAAATGGTTTCCTTATAACAAATTTAAAAATGTTGAATATGTTAATGAAGGAGGATTTGGTACTATATATAAAGCTACTTGGTTAAAGAATAGCAGAGATGAAGATGAAGAAGTAATTCTTAAATGTCACAAGAATTTAAATGAAAATTTAAATGAATTTTTAAAAGAAGTATGATAGTATATTATTTTCTATTTTTAATTTAAATTAAAATTTATTTATACTAATAGATTATTATTATTTTTATAGTGGGAATATCATAGAAGTTGTTTAAGTTCAAGTGATATTATAAATTTTTATGGATTTACAGAAGTTCCAAATTCATCAAAATATATGGTAGTAATGGAATATGCAAATAAAGGTAATTTAAGAGAAAATTTAACAAGAATAGTCAAAAATAATTGGAATCAAAAATTATATATGTTGTACGAAATTATTTCTGGGCTTAAAAAGATACATGAAGAGAATCTTATTCACTGTGATTTTCATGATGGTAATATTTTAAATCATAATGATGAGAATAAGGATAAATTTTATATTAGTGATTTAGGATTATGTCAACCTGTAAAATCGTCTTTGAAAAAGTATGATATTTATGGTGTTATACCATTTATCGCTCCTGAAGTTTTAAGAGGCAAACCTTATGCTTCAGCTAGTGATATATATAGTTTTTCTATGATTATGTGGGAATTTACATCTGGGGTACCACCATTTTTTAACAGAGCACATGATATTCAACTTAGTTTAAGTATTTGTAAAGGCGAACGTCCTGAAATTATTGAAAATACTCCACAATGTTATGTAGATTTAATGAAAAAATGTTGGAATGAAGATCCATTAAAAAGACCATCTACATCAGAAGTGAAGGGTATTATTGAGGATTGGATTTTCCATCCTTATAATAATGAAGTCAGTGAAGAATTAAAAAGCAACATTATGGAATTTATAAATGCACCAATTGGTCATAACAATCTTGCTACTAAATCTCATCCTAAAACATGTTATATTAGTCGCTTACTTGATTTCACTAGTAAAAAATTGAATGAAATCCTTGAAAGTGAAGATTTACAAGCATATCATGCAAGTCTGAATGATTGTATAATTAGAGATTCAAGGTCATTAGGTATGTATTATAATATATAAAAAATTGATCTTACAAATTATTTATGTAAAATTAATTTATTTATTTAATTATAGATGAAAATACTAGTAAAAAGTTGAATGAAATTCTTGAAATTGAAGATTCACAAGCTAGTGTAAAAGAAAATAAAATGCTAGTAAGTGAAGATGATTTGAATGATTGTATAATTGAGACATAAAATCATTAGGTACACTACTTGGACAAAAGTAGCGGGAACTATTTTTGTCAATGAAATTTTAATGTGTGATAATATAGATATCATAAATAAAATATATATTTAAAGTTTTACACTTCTAACATTCATACAACTATATTAATTAAAAAAAGAAATTTAATTATTATTATACTAGTTAGTAGATAAAGTAATGATCTCTATTTTTGTTAATTAATTAAAATTACACATAATAATAATGCTTAAAATTTTAATATGTAATAATATAGATTTTAAAGAATATAGCAAAAGATTTTCATGCTTCTAACCTTTATACAGCTGTATTAATGAAAAAATGTTTAAAAATTTCTGATGATCGTTAAAATTAAAATAAAATGATCTTTGAATAAAATTTTAATTTTTAATTTTTTGGAAATAAGAAAAATAAAAAATTCATATATTCATTTTCTAAAACTATAGCCTTTAAATAATACAAAAAATAATATGTAAAATTTTGAGAAAATGTGGAAGCATAGTATTGTTATTTAAATTAATTTTCTTTCAATTTTTTTAATAATCATATAACAACAAACTAGAAAAATGAAATTTTTTGTGTATATACATTAACCAGAATCCTGTACTGTTACATATTAAAATTTCAGGTAACATTACCATGTACAATGTATAGGTAAAACATGTAATATGGTAACAATTTATTTTTTATGTATTTTATATATCATACAGTATATTATATATCTGATATATATTATTTAGTATATGTATTTTATTATAATTTTCTAATATTTAATTCATAAACTTCAAAATACTATCTCTAATAAAAACGCCAAAAGGCCCAACTGGCATGGAAATCTTAAATGTGACAGTTCTAGATCTTACATCAGCGAATGTTCGCTTTAACGTTTCTTATTCATATTCTTCAATAAAAGAAATAGTATTGTCCGTATATTTGATAATGCTTATCAGCATCTTGTATAACATTGTTTGCTCCTAATCCTAATATGAGACTCATAGCATGAGTAGCATCCCCTAATAATACAACTCGACTACTTGTCCATGATTTGATAGAATATCTCGCATCATTCTTCGTTGTACAGGATTATACTTTTAAATGGAAGCTTTATTGGATCATTTGGAATTGTTTTAGGCAAATCCCATAATTTTAACAATAAATCAGTTAATTCACAATCTGGCCTTAATGTTCGAATTAATCGTTTGACATGTTCGATAACTGATGCAGGATCATTATTATCAACTTTAACTTTGTCAGATTCAAAATCTATATTATCGAATTTAAAAGGATAAGAATAAACTAATGTTGCTCTCATTTTTCTCATCGTTTTGTTCTGCTTGATTGGTATTAAACGCGTCATCATAAATGTTGAATCTCATTTTGTTCCAAGAGTTTTAAAGGTCAAAATATTTCTATGGATTTTATTAAATAATAGGTGTTATTTAAAAGTATATTATAACTTACTTGGAGAATTAATTTCATCTGCACTAACTAAAATATTACAAAATTCTTGTGAGCCATCTCCCAAACTCCTCCTTGAGTTTCTACATATTTAATGCATTTTTTATTCCATTGAACTAGTATAGTACATCTTCTAATAAAACATCTCTAAGTCTATCATGGCTAAGTAATCATTGATGATAGATCACGAGATATTTTACGAGTTCATAAACATCTTTAAATGAGGGGTAAGTAGAACATTTCCTATTTGACCAGTGATAGTTATTCCATGAGTTTCTATATCAGAAATTGGATTTGGCATTGCTTTTGAAAGTTTTGAGGCGATTGAGGATGGAATACAGTTTAAAAGAGATTGAGCTCCATAATTGGATAAACTTATATGATATCCTTGCCATCGATCTAAATGTAACAACACACAATTTAACGTAATATTTAATTAGAAATTAGAAATTATTTATACCTGTAGGACAAGATTCACGTTCAAAGATTTTTGCATTGATTTACTTGTTGCATTTTTAATGAAATTATTATTTGTATAAAATTCAAAAAAGAAAATGCAGATATATACACTATAAAAATGAAATGTGTTAAATTCTTTTTAATTTTGTTTTCATGTGTAAAAAACAAAATGGGTCTTTTTTAGATATTCATTATACATGAGCACAAATATTAAACAAATTTAACTCATTTCGTTTTTATAGGGATAAAGAAGAATCGTCATGAAGTTCGAAATTGTTTGAATGATTTTTCTAATTTATTTTAAATTTGTTCTAAAAAAAAATCAAGAAACATTTTTCTGGCGGATTTATTTATAAAAGAAAAAGTCATTGCCAAGAAACAAGCGAATCATAACTCTAATATGACGTAGTATATCAATCATAATTTACCACTGAAATTACTATGTACGTCACATGCCTGTACGTCACATGTCAAGTCGAGTGTTAATAATTATATATTTTCTTCTGTATTCATTCATCGAAATTAACCAAAATTTTACCGATTTTCTGAAATTATTTACCAGAAAATTTTATCAAGAATTATTCACAAGGAATTTCTCATTGGCAAAATTTAATGTAATGTAACTCATGGTAATCATTGTACAAAAATTTCTGAGCAAAATTTATACGAAAGTAGTGATAATATGTCCATCTGATTAACTACACATCATATTTGGATTGATATGTAGTTAAATTATCGAATTTTGCGGACGTGATTGAATATCATACTGTAGGATACTGTAGGGACAACCCCGCAGTTCCCGCACCTTTACGTGCATGACTTATTAAATCATTGCCACACAGGTGAATAAAAATCCCTAAAAATTTCTGGATCGAAATTTATACATAATGAGCTAGTAGTATGGTGGCTGACACCTATAAATAACAATAGTCTGAAATTTGAAATTTTTAATATCCGGTATTCCCATAAGATCATGATGCCAATTAATTTGCTCATATCTGCCATTTATTGCCAGAAATAAATGATATCCGGCAATAAATGATGTAACATGCCGAATATGAACAAAATTGATTAATTTATCATGATCACGTAAGGTTACCAAGGAATATAACCATTATTAGGCACTTCGTTATTCAATATTACGGTGTATATTGAATATCCTGTGCCTAATAACTCTATATAATTGCAACATGAACGGCAAAAATTTTTTGCCACATTACATGAAATTCTTGTAGATTGCAATGGAATTTTTGTAAAATCCGTGAAAATTACATGAAAACTAGTCCGAAATTTTATGTTTTTATTATTGCTACTTATTAAAATTATCAAACTTTAACCCATAATATTAATTACTAAAATTCTTATTAAATTCTATAAAATTAACCTGATAGAAATGTTCAATACATGTTGCTCTATCATTTTATCAGTTTAGTTTCTTCTTTTTACTATTCAATTTACAATTTATAAAAATTTGAATCACATAAAGTTAATGTGGACCATAGCTCGTAAAGTCGTAATATTCTTACAGATCTACACTGTTCCCAAATTTACGACTCATTTCCTTGTAACATAATTCATCCAATAAAATTTATACTTCTTACGTCACTTAATTAATTATTAAATCATTGCCCCAATAATTTAAGGTCATTTCGGACTGCAGTAAATTTATACATAAATATAAGATAAAACTACCACCATTTGATTCGTCTCAGTGAGACGATTCTAACAAGCTATGGTACATCTTTAATACTGCGCCCAAAATTAATAATATCGTTAGATAAAGTCGTCCTCTACAATGCTAAGCTTGCTCATTTTAATGTTCGAAAATTAAAATAATAATATAGAAGTTCGATAAAAAAGTAAAAAAAAATATTGTCAATAATTATGTTTAATTCCTTTTAAAATTTAATTACATTTTTTGAAATGTTTAAGCACTAATTTTATTTTTATAAATTATAAGAGCATATTAAAGAATGTATTTTTGTTTAAATAACTTTGACAAGTGCAAGAATTATATAAATTTTAATGGTAAAGAGTACATTTTCTCACTTTCCGATCCATTTACTCAAATGTAAAAAGATCCCTTCATTTTTCAAACGAATAGTGCAGTAGTATCAATAAGCCACTTAACGCCTTAACAAAAGTGGGTACGAATAACAGTATTATTTAAAGTTTTCAAAATATTAATAAGTATTAATAATAAAGCACATAACGTCATATGATAATAGCTTAACTACCGATGTAAAACTATATTATTTTAACGATTTTTACTTTAGAAAACAAGCTTTATATATGTTTGTTCTTTAGTTTAATATTTAAAAAAAAATTCGTGTAGTAGAAGTTTCAGAGCGTTATTTCAACACTTTGGTATTAGTAAATCACTTCTGAGTGTCTAAGTAAAGTTGTTCAACAAATCCAAATCATTTATATCTGAATTTTTATTTAGCTTAAATAGAGTTATAAAGTTATAGAATTATAGGTATTTTTTGTAACAAAACAACCACATTACGCTTTTTATTTATTGTATTATTTTTTATATAAAATTAAAACCTGGGCAAAATTACGTAATGCCGGGCAAAATTAAAACATGTGACATTTAACTAGGGTGTGAAAAATAGATATTTTACAGCGGAAAAAATTTCGTCCCCAGAATATGAAAAAGGGAGGGTGTGACACAGGTGACAAAAAAGGGTGCGATGTGCGATAAATTATAAAATCCTTTTATTATTTACTTTATTTTTAAAAAGTTGTTTATTTTTTTTAAAAAAAAATCATTTTTTTTTATTTTTATTTTTAAAAAATTTGTTCTTTTGTTTTAAAAAAAAATAAAAAAAAACGAAAATTAATTTTCGCTCAAAATTTGCTACAGAACTATGTAATGCAGTACATTACATCCTGCTTATGTGCCAGATTAACCCACGAGATCTGAATGTAACCTACGGGTTACATGAGGGGGTTTTCATTAAACAAACTAGTAGAGGTAATAAACCTTTGGAAAATTTGGGAAAATTTGAGAAATTTCAGAAGAATTCAGTAACCTATAATATGAATTTAGAACATGTGTTGTTATATATTTATCAACTTTAAAAAAACAAAGGGGGGGGCGGGATATGCTAAACTAATCTCAGGAAATTTGTTTGCGGAATTTTATAATTTGTGTGGGTAGAAGTGATTTATATTGGCAGGGATATTGTAAATATAGGCAAATTGTTAAATTTAGATGATTGAATATAAATAAAACAACATGACGTATCTAATGGCACGTGACATCTATTATCATGAGTACGCCAATAAAAAAATATATATATTTATTTATTTGTTAATAAAAAAAATTGTAAATACACATTTATGATACATAAATTCTTTCTGTTATATAAAAAAAAATCTATTCTATATTCTATTCAATAATTTTCATCATAATCTATAACTTTAAATTTTTTAATAACACCTAAATTAATAAAATTTTCAACTATTTTCATAATTTCATGATTTTTCACAAAATTATTTTTTTCCAAATAATCGATAATAACCCAAGAAAATGATTTTAATGGTAAACGATTTCCCCAATTAGTATAAAAATAATTTAATAATTCTGGAAATAATTGTGATTCTATTTGATAATCATAATAAATTTTTAATTGAAAAAAATTTTTTGGGGAATATTTTATAATAATATTTAATAATTCTTTTAAATTTAAATGCTTATCATATAATTTAATACTTTCTAAATGTTGACATCTTTCAAAAATAACTTTTAAATTATCATAATCTGATATTGAAGTTGAAAGTATTTTAAGATTCGGACAAAATTTTGATATAGCTAAATTTAATGAATTCAAAAATTTAATTTCATTTTCTACATAAAGTTCCTTCAAATTTTCACCATTTTTTTCCAAGAAATTAATTAAAAATTCAACTTTAGGACAAGCATATCTAAATCTTAAAACTTGTAATTTTGGAAATTCAATATGTTGTAATTCTTTAAAAGCATCCTCAGAAACTTCCGAAATATCATAATAAAATGATAATATAAGTTCATGTAAATTTTTTGGAAATGGTAATGGTACATAATCATGGATTTCATATACTCCTAATTTAATCAAAGTATTATTAGAAAGTTTTGCTAATGATGGAATTATACTTGATAAAACTTTATGATCGTGAGATTGATGCAAGACCAAATTTTTCAAATTGTTTTGAGAAAAGATTAAATCCATTAATCCATCTGAGATATAATAATCGAATACCACATATATTGATTTGATATTATGACATATTTTTGATAATTGTTGAAAAAATTCTGGATAAAAATTTGAACGACAATTTAATTCTGAGAGATATTTTAAACAATTTTTTGATCCAGGGTAAGAAGTTAAAATTATATTCATTTTTAATAAATCAACATGTAATATTTTTAAAGAAGGACCTTGATTCATAAGAAGCTTATATATTTCCTGAGCTATAATTTCTATATTTGAATCTGTTAGAATATGTTTCTGATTTTCAAAAAGGAGTCCAATTCCATGTATTATATGATAATCAGATAGAACTTTACAAAATGATGCGTAATTAAACATTGGAGGTTTTGAAGTTAAAGCTGAAATGATTATTCCATTTTTAATCAAAATTTCCTTAGATTCATCCGGAAGGCAAGAGATTAAAATATTATAATTACAAGAATTAAAATTCCAAACGCTTCTCCATAAAATTTTAACAGAAATTTTACACCATATACGGTTTACTAATAAGCATGAATGTAAGGTAATTTTATCTCTCTCTAAATGTTCGAGAATTTCAATAATACAATCAACGAAAAGTTGAGACATTTTTTGTTTTTTATTTTTTGTTTTTTATTTTATTTTTTTTTTTTTAATTGGAAAAAAATTTTTTCTTTTTTCTCTTTAAATAATATTTTTTGCAAAAATTCTGTAATTAGCTAGATCATGGTCATGGCGTGCATATTGCTTTGTTTTGTGTTACATTCTTAAAACACACCGCACGAAATTGTTTGTTGATCAAAACTTTAATAAGGTTTTCTTTACTGCGGAAGTGGAAAAAATCGGAAAAAACAAGGTTAACAATTATACATATATATAAAAAAATGCACTAACCGCTAAATATTAATTCATACAAAAACTTTGATGCTAGGAAGGTACCATAATTTTATGATTAAAGTTTTTTCTCAAGCCCCGTAAACAACATGTATCAAATATGCCGTTGGCGTGGATCGGCACTGTATTAGAACGTGAAACATAATTTATCAACAATGAACATATAAATCTGATTGAAAACTTAAATGGAAGATTGAAATTAACAACTATTTTTGATTTTTATTATAATTTCTTTCCCTACTTAAAAATACTTTTAATATTTGGAAAAATCAAGAAGCCATTTATATTATTATCTTCACAAAAGACGAATATTGTTTCAAAATAAACGCAATATTTGTGAACTGATAGTTATGTAACGAAAACTTTAATTTTAATTCTTTAATCTTAATTTAACTCAAATTATACAATTTTAATCTAGCCAAAAGATTACATAATCACATGGAACTTTTGGTCTAAAATTCGACTGGAATTTACTGCAAGATAATTTAACAATCTAAGCCGTTTATAAAACTCATTTACAAAATAGAATATTTATTATTCTAATGATCTACATATAGTTTATACATGATAATAATAAAGTTATAAATTCTTTTGTTCTTGTGAATACAGTGCTCCGGTCTGTACCCATTTTTTTTTTTCATCTAAAATCAACGATATAGTAATTTAGTGCAACCCGAAAAAAAACTTTTTAACTGGTTAGAATATCAGAAGTTACGTTACACACAAAATCTATGAACCTAGAATTTCATGTATAATAATATTACATGCAATTTTTTTTTAGGTGGAACTACTCACAATCCAGGTTGAAACGATCTAATTCTCGATTATTATTTTTTTTTATAATTTTTTTTTAGCAAAACTAACATATACTGTTTGTTGAGTTTCATTTAGGCATGTCACGTAAACTTTGTCAAAATGCATGAATATTTAAGAAACGTAAAAATCAAACAACTCATTGATTTAATTCACGTGATAGTCAAAATTTGCCAGCCAATGAAACTTTAAAGTTATACGTGTTTATAAAATAAAAAAAAAAAAACTCTTCCCCCTTTCCGTCAGATTTCATAGAAATCCGCAGTATACACATTTTTTTAAAAAAATAATTTTTAACCCTTTACGTTGGTATAAAAGGAGTGAGGACCACTTGGTGGCCTCGACGGAAAGTACTCCTTATATATCCCGTTGCTTTTGGAAGTAGTTTTTTCATTATAGTATACCAAAATTTTTATAGTTATGTCATCTTCAAAGTCTTTAAACATTTTACCTTCCCTTGAGAAAAAATATCCCCTTGACGTTTCTTTTTCCAAATTTCACATGACTCGTCCTAATCGAGCTGGTTACAACAAAATTTATGACATCAGTAGATCAAAAAGTTTCTTTTTTGAGTTAGTCGATCATTATACAGACACCAATGAAATTCATCTTAAAATACACACAAATGATTATCACATGAAAACAAACCCAATTAGTTATCCTAACACAAGTAAACTCCCTAATGACAAATACCAGATTAGTGTTATGCTCACACATTTTTTTTCTTTACAAAGAGTTTTACCCAGGCGTATTCAACAAAAATTTTTTAATTTTATCCGAGATAAATTAATACAAAGAAAGGCGATAATCATGTCACGTGCTAGAAAAATTGATTCACGTAACACAACAACCAAAAACTTTTTTAATTTCTCTTACAAACGATATCGTTTTCACTTTGGAATATATATTCCTTGTTCTCATGATTACATTACCCCTGGATTTCCTGGATTCAGTCCTCCAAAAACCATTTGTAAAGTACCGACACCGTTCATAATGTCAGATTTTAGAAGAGCTTGAGTCCTTCACCAACCCTCATTCTTTAAAAATGATGTGTTTATACATATTAAAAATGTTAAAAAAGAACTTAATGTTGATTCAACAAATGCTTCTTTAAAATCAAAGATTTTTCATGCTAATCTTTTATACACTCACTGGAATACACATAGAACTAAAAAAATTTATTCTCGAAGATTGGGAATTTCTTATGAAGAAACGATCCATGCTAGGGATCGCCACTCCATCACACACCTTAATAATAAACATATATATAGGAAAAAACTTTGCAATTTAAGTATCCGACGTAGTCACAACCCTAGCGTGAGCAAGGCTCAAGAGACTCGTTTTGATAGGGCTAAACGACGCATTTTCAACACAAAAGAACATAATCGTATGGACCTTATACAGCATAAATATGCTACGGCACAAAGATATCGATTTCTGTTTTCAGAAACACAATTTGTTCTTAAACCCATCAAACATCTTCTTTACAACCAAGGCCTCCATCACGGAAATTATAAATTTTGGACGCCCTTTTTTGGACGCCCTGGTAAAAGATTTATGACTACCACGATTAACGATACTCAACCATCATTACCCCTTATTACGTATACAGTAGCGCCCTACAATCCAACCCCTAATATGTTTATTCCTCACAAATACAGAAATATAATTCCTAAGGAACCGCTTTACACAGAGGAGGGTGTATATATAGTTCCAGGTTCTAGAGAGTGGTTTACTTATATGTATAATTTACACAACAATTTGCCCCCACCACTTACAAAAGCACAACGTCGTGCGTTACAACGTGAGAATGAGCGTATTGCTCATTTTAGATTGAATCAAGAAAATGCAATTATGCAAGGGACTTCAGTCCATCGGGTTAGACCACGACAATTTTTGAAGGATAGGTTGAGTACATTTTGTGAGCGTGTTCATGATAAAATGATGAAGTTGACAACCCAATACTTGGAAACTGATAACGAAATTACTAAATCAAAAGTTTATAAGACTATGAGTAATTATTGTACCAACATATTTGAAGATGATAATATTAGATCTAACAAGCACATGCGCTATGGCAACCAATCACACCTTAACATGTTCGGAGTGCCAGTGGACACTTCCGACGATGCTAAAGAGCTCGAACTCAGACCTAAAAAACGAAGATTTTCTTCGCATACTACTAACC